ACGGAGAACTAACTGGCCTGCAGAAGATAACGGAAAAATAAACAAGATTTTAAGACAGGATTTTTTTTTTTAAATAGAAATGTTCTAACTTTGATAAAGAGAACATTTATATACATGTTTAAGCCAGAATGATTTGACATTTGAATATGATTTCCCTTTGACTTTAACATTATTTCCTTAAGTTATTTAAGTGAAAAAGCTTTAAAAAAGCTTCTCCTCCATCCTGTCCCTGATTGGCTGCCGTGTGGTGATGCTGTAGAGAAGTTCAGCTGGTTTCATCTTCCTCCTCTCTCCATGCGGTGCTGCTGGTTGACGCCTCAGCTCTACCTAGCAGCAGGTGAGGGAGGGGCAACCACTTCACCAGACGGTTTGGACTTCTATGTTTGGACCTCTATATCTGAACGCACCTTAAAATGCATGAGAAGCAGAACGTGACCAAACTAAAGGCTTCCTGCTGGAGGTCACCCAGAGGTCAACCATCCCCCATACAGCTGACCTTCAGACATTCCTTAAAAATGTTCCTATAGTGGCGTCTAAAACCTCTCAGACGGCGCAGCCCGCCGATGCTGTGTGGGTCTCTCCTGAACTGGACCGTCCTCATTGGTTCTAATCTAGCTCTTTGTCAGCCTCTGATTGGCTCCACCAGTCTAACCACAGCCAAACATGGCCGCTACCAGAACCCCAGTAGAAGCAACATGAACAGGTGGAGAACGACCTGCGGACACCAGCTCTGAGGCACGGAGGAGGCGGCATCATGTGAGCAGAGGATGGTGCTCTGGTACCTCTGAGGCGGCGGTCTGCAGTCAGAGGGGCGGGGCTTAGCTCATAATGTGGGCTCACTCACCTTAACAGCAGGTTTGGGAGCCTTTTTCATGGGGCTGTACTCGTCTTCGGACCCGGAGTCCTTCCTCTTCTTTCCTCGGACTTTACCTGTAACCATAGCAACAGGTGACACAGACCGGCTGCCGACCAACGGGGAGCGTTTCCTTAGCTGCAGGCAGGAAGTCGTACCTTTGAGAGCAGCTGCTGGCTTCTTGGCGCCGGTGTCCGAGTCCGAGTCCCAGATGGATTTATCTGGTTTCTTTGCTTTGGGTGCTGCTGGTTTCCTGGGTTTGGGCGCCGCTTCTGGACCTTTCTTAGCTGCAGCTGAACACAGAGAGCGGAAGGTCAGCGTGGTTCTGCGGCGCCACGGCGCCCCATGCTGGCCCGGCCCTACGGTACCTTTCTTTGCTGGTGAGATTTTGTCAAACGCCGAGCTGCTGGAGTAGGTGGAGAACTTTGGGGCGGCGTCGCCTTCGCTGTCCGACCCGGAGCCGTCTACAAAGCAAGCAGAGGATCAACGCATCAGAACCTCAGGCGGACTTCAGAGTTCGGATCTGATTGGTCTGAATGGAACCAGAGTGGTTCTGATGCTCACCGCTATCGTTGCTCTTTTCAGAGAAGGCCGACTTGGACGAGAAGATGCTGGGTGTCTCCTTCTTCTTGGCTGCAGGTGCAGACCTGCGCAGCAGACAGAGAGCATGATCAGAACCGGATCAGAACCGGATCAGAACCAGATCAGGACCAGATCAGGACCGGATCAGGACCAGATCAGAACCAGCTCAGGACCGGATCAGGACCAGATC